TGGAGGCAGTCATAGTTGTCTGTGTTGCAGAAATATGCCTATCCAGCAGATGAGCTGATGCCTCTAAGCTGCAAGGGGAGAGTCCGTGGCGAGGAGCCCAACAGAGGTGACGTAGATGACTCCTTGGGGAAGTAAGTGCATTATCTGAACCCTAGCGAAAGACAGTGAGGTTATTACAGCCATAACAGTTAAATTCCCTCAAGTGGATAAGCCATGTATTATAATCCCTCTGGTGGCATCAGTTCAGACTAATATTCCCAGTAACTGGCTTCTCCATGTTATACTATAGAATAAAGCATTAAACTGAGAACAAAACCTTTCAGCTTGATCACAAAACATGCTTTGAATTTCAGTGAAATGGAAAATGTTTTCTGCTTTATCATAAGTATCAATAAATATATCACCAATATCTCCATTTACTTACTTCATATGTTGCATAATGTAATTTCATTGCAAATGCAGCAGACTTTATATTTAACAGTCTGTGTTCATAACAAATTAAACTGCATTAGTTGGAAAGTGGGACACTAACTCCAGTGTGCTGCACTCATCATAATGTTTTGTGCATCTTCTCCGTAGGTTTTCTCTTACACTGATTGACACCCTTGATACCCTGGTGGTGAGTACTTGTTTTTGCTCTGTTTACAAGCATTAAAGATTGAAGTAGTTTTCTCTGCTTTTATATTGTTATTTTTTATTTTTTTCTCCTTTTGTGACAGTAGACATCTTTGTTCCTGTTGCTTTGTATGTAAGCAGGTGTTAAACAAGCTTGATGAGTTTGAGGACGCAGTGCGGAAAGCTGTGAGGGATGTACGTCTGGACAATGATGTGGTGGTGTCTGTGTTTGAGACCAACATCAGAGTCTTGGGGTATGAAGCATGCCTGTAGTTTACTTTTGTACTGCATTTTTTTATTTGCTTTTATTAGTCTGTCTTGACTACATTGGCCTGACCGTGCAAATCCTTATTTATAAGCAAAATCTTAATCACTTCTAAAACTGTCAGGGAGCTTTTGATACTTGGTTGTTAAGTGATAGGTTTGAGTCAGATCTATCCCTAGATTATGAGTGGACTCCTTAATATTAGACAAACAACCAAACTAGAGTCATTTAAAATTAACAGTGTGAAAGGCAGAATTCAGTTTTGGCAGGATTAAAACAGAACAGCGATCAGAGTCTGCAGAAAGCAGGAAATCATTGGTCACTGTAATGAGTTACCATTACTAGACAGAACTGTCCCGTTGTATAGAGTATCTCAACCTGTACACTATCCCAGCCCCTCTTGAATTGATTATTTTTAAAAGAACATTTTTCTACATTCATTTAATTCTTTACAGAGGGCTTTTGGGGGCCCATGTGATGGCTGATCTGTTCCGTGAGCGTGGGGACAGGATGCAGTGGTATCGCGATGAGCTTCTACACATGGCCAAAGAACTGGGCCATCGATTACTGCCTGCCTTCAACACCACAAGTGGCCTTCCCTACCCTAAGGTATTTCTGATTTTAATAACTACCTAAAGTAATGTTTGGGATGTGAACTAACAAAATAACTATTTCTTTTTTGATTTTACCAGGTGAATCTGCGGTATGGAGTCCTGAACCCACTTGCACGCACAGGCACTGAATCAGACACGTGCACAGCTTGTGCTGGAACAATGATCCTGGAGTTTGCTGCCCTCAGCAGACTGTCAGGAGAACCAGTGTTTGAGGTATTACCTCCCTCTGCCTTCCAGTTGTCTTATGCTTTTGTTTTTTGATATGAAGTTTTTTTTAATGTGAAGATCCTGAAACTGACTGACTCGTTTGTATAAAAAGATGAAAATGTATATGAATAATGAAGTTATTTTATTAGAAATATTTTGAAGGACTTATCATTCTACAGGAACACGCAAGGAAGGCTCTGGATGTCCTGTGGAAGAGGAGACAGAAAGGAAATGATTTGGTGGGGACCATCATCAATATTCATAGTGGAGAATGGATCCGGAGGGGTGAGGCGATTTTAAATACACACATGCGTAGTATAAAAGCATAAAATAATTTCGTATAGACAGTTCAGAAATACACGGCTCTACTCTCAGAGCACTTGTTAGCTACACCTGTACAGTTGAGTGCATTCCAGTAAAACAGTCTGAGACTCATGATATTTCAGTTTTTGGTGAAAATGTCTGAAATGTGTCAGTTCAGTTATAGGATTGTTATTAAGGTCATACATAGGAGTGGTGTTGTACTGGACTGTGTTGGATTCAAATGTTTCTAATATTCTGACCCTCTCATGTATGTAAATGGAAGGATAAACAATAGAGACACTTAGGAATATAATGCAGTTGTGTAGGTGTACCTAATAAAGTGCTCAGTGAGTGTATATGATCCTTATTATAATTAACTGTCACTTCTGTTTTTGCAGACAGTGGTGTTGGTGCTGGTATTGACTCGTACTATGAATATCTGATGAAGGCTTACATTCTTTTAGGAGATAATGTTTTTCTGGAGAGATTCAACATTGTAAGTCTTTTTATTCCCACCATATACTGGAAGTCAATACGTCTAATGTCTTTTCCATTTGTCTGGCTTTCTGCTCCCTGATCCAACATAGACAGACTTTGTTTATGTTGTTATTGTTTGGACTGAAGCATTCATTGTTTGATCATTTATTTTTATGATATTTGCCTGTAACAGCACTACAGTGCCATTATGAAGTACATCAGTCAGCCACCCTTGCTGCTCAACGTACACATGCACAACCCCACTGTGAGTGTACGAAGCTGGATGGACTCTCTCCTGGCATTCTTCCCTGGTTTACAGGTCATGGATCCTGTCTTAACATGCACTTGCTTAATCACAATTGCTACAATCAAAACATGGTCGATAACAAAGAGGTGTTGATAAGAGCTAGTGATTTAATTTCATTTTAGAAATTGTTGCACACATTTGTGACGTTTTACTTTTCATACAGGTTTTAAGAGGAGATCTGAAACCAGCTATTGAGACTCATGAGATGCTTTATCAAGTCACCAAACAGCATAAGTTTCTTCCAGAGGTAACCATAATACTCAACACATTTCAAGTTATGACATTTATACTAAGGTTGTGTGTAATGTATCCCTTTAAAACTATAGTATTAAATATACAGTAGCTGTGCAGCAGCTATAGCATATTTCATGTTGAGAAATTTCTTGTGGCTTCTTTTTTTTATGAAATCTGTTCAGTCTAGTAATAAAATAGTTTTAGAAGTAGCCAGTGCCACTAACATGCTTCTCTTTCTTCGGTTAATTTCCTTACAGGCTTTCACTACAGAGTTCAGAGTTCACTGGGGCCAACATCTACTGAGACCAGAGTTTGCAGAAAGCACATACTACCTCTATAAGGTGAAAACCCCGACACAACAGAAATAAAGAGTAATACTCTTATTTAAAGCTAGGAGTATTCAGATCTAAATAGGCTAGCTAGGGCACTCTACTATATATGCAAAGTATTTTTACAGAAAGCACAGTGCTTGAAGTGTGGCTGAAATTATTTTTTTGATCTGTGCAGGCCACTGGTGACCCCTACTACCTCAGAGTGGGACAGTCCATCGTGGAAAAGCTCAATGCCCATGCCAGGGTGCCTTGTGGGTTTGCTGCTGTGCAAGATGTCCGCACTGGGACGCATGAAGACAGGTACTGAGTAGTTGAAATTCTGTTCCAAACAAGATGGAGGTGTGGTCGTGAAGTCTGTCTTTGAATTGCAGTGGATCCTCAGCACTTTTTGGGTGACATCTCCTGTGTCTGTGTTAATGTGTGTGTAGGATGGACTCCTTCTTTCTGGCAGAGATGTTTAAATACCTGTACCTGCTGTTTTCGGAGAAGAGCCAGCTGCCCATCAATATTGATGACTACATCTTCACCACAGAGGCTCATCTTCTCCCCGTGTCTCTCTCCACCACCCAATCGCCCTGTCAAGCCAACAATACAGTGAGAGCTCTTGCTTTATTACTAACACAAGTTTTTAATTTATACTATATATATTGTGTATTACATTTAGATATTCTTAATGGCATTCTATGTGGGATTACATTATGGAAACCTCATAAAATTTGACATTTCTGTCTTTTATGACAATATGTGTGGTACTGTTAAAATGCTCATCCTTTAAAATGTGAAATGACACGAGTGTAACTGCTGCTAAATTCAGTGTAACTGTGGGTCATGTTCTCCAGGACACTGGTCATGTTTCTCAAGAAGATTTGTTCACACACTCCTGCCCCAGCACAGAGACGTTGTTTCCTAACAACCCTTCATTTGCCAAAACTATCCGGGACAGCTACAAGTACCTCACTGGTGTGGGTCGAGCCTTCCACCCCTTACCTGTCAGGTGTGTCCAGTTGCAAGGGACTTTTTCTTAAAGAGTGAACTCATCACCGGAGCCTGTATGATAATTTTAAATTTTGGTGTATTTGTTTTTTACAGGGGAATTGAACTCCCATTCCATGATAATGGCATGGAGCCAGTGGAGTTTTTAAAAAGCATGGGCATTTCTCTTACTCCACTGAGTGAAATTACAGGAGGAGCCAGAAGTCAGAAGGTATTTTGTTATGACATGAGGAAAAAGCCAAAGTAGATGGAAAATTAATGAAGAAAAAAATGGGTCGAGATAATGAATATACTAACTTAAATGTTTGTTTTTTTTTATGTCTGGAATGTACAGTAAGTTAGTATAATAGACAGTGTCACAATGTTCAAATGTTCCCAGATAAAAATGATTAAATTTGAACTGGTGATACCATAACGCTGTCACACAGCCTCCTTTTTGTAACTTAAAAATTACACTTGATATTATGGGTAAACAAATTCAGATTCACAGTGACCACTGTTTTCAATCCAGTTTTCTAAATGTTTATCTGTTCAGGAGCATAAAGGAGTGTACCGGGTAAAACTTGTGGCAGAGGTAAGCCAGACCCCAGAGGATGAGGAGGTGGTGCCTCACGTTGTTCAGCTCATATCCCCCCCGTTTCTGGGTAGGACAGTCCTCACAGCGGGACCTGCCAAGTTTGGAATGGACCTCTCCAAACAGGAGCATGGGGTGAGCTTACAGTTTTTATTTATTTAGAAGGGACAATCCACATTAATCAACCCTGATGTTACTAACATCGGTGTAAATGTGCTGTGTTTAGCTCAACAGCTAATTTGCACCCATAGTCCTGACCTAATTAAAAATTAGTTAATAAAAGTAATTGACTTCTAACAATACAATGAAAAAGACTCTACAAACAAGTTAATCCATCAAAATATCAGATCATTACAAAGCCAACAACAAAGCTCCCACCTAGTTGTGACTTTTACAAGAAACATGAACAAACTACTGTATTATGTTATCAGTACTAACTCTTCTAAGTGGCTTAAAAGATGGACCTCAACAAACAGTATAATTAATGACATCTTGTGGAGCTGTGTTTAGCCAAGACCAAGACATTTGCTGCAGATTTTTCTTAACCTATACAAATATTACTTGTTTTGCCCTGTGCTGTAGGTGAAGGGCAGCATAATGAAATCCTCCCCTTACACAGCGTGTGGGCCAATAGATAACGCAGCGGAGCTCAAAGGCCACATTGCCCTGGCGCTGCGTGGTGACTGCATGTTTGCTGCAAAGGCTCGTCGGCTGCAGGAGGCCGGAGCTATAGGAGTCATCTTTGTAGGTGAGAAACTGAAATCACATTAACACTTTATTTCTACAGTACAACTCAATGCTCAATATGCAAAGTTTAGAATAACTTGTCAAATACTGTCAAGACCAGACATCACAGAAATGAAATGATTCAGACTACTCCCATATTCTCTTTCCCAGACCACCGTGAAGGAAGCAATAGCGGGGAAACGCCACTGTTCCAGATGGTTGGAGATGGAGACTCCACTGAAGACATCACCCTGCCTTTGGTCTTCCTGTTCAGTCATGAGGGTGCCGTGCTTACAGCTGCCCTGGAAGAACATCACAATGTGGATGTGCTGCTGCTGCCCAAGGAGAGGCAGCTGGGACATGGTGAGGACCAGGGGGAGGAAAAGTAAAGGATAAGGCTTTCAATATATAGTATTATATGCATACAGTCATGATAAAAATAATGTGGACCCTCCTTCCATTATATGTTTTTATTCATCAGGGGCTAAAAAACAATTTTGTCCCCTCACCAACTTCCATAAACAAAATCATAACCTCGGGTGACAACAAAAAAACACAACAGATTTCATTATGTGGTGGCTATTTGATTACTCATCTATGTTAGAGACAGAATCTCAGATCCCATGATCCCATTTTTGATGACACCCATAATGTCTCACCTCTCACCTCAAATTCAGTGTTCAAAATTATATATTACTCAGAAGATGAACTGAAAATATTGCTAAAACAAAAATGACATCAAATCAGAGGTATTCTTTCAAATGTCATTTTCAAAGTTTTTGTGTCTGTTTTGTTGCTGCATTTCATTGTTCAGAAAAAACGGAAAAGCACATCGGCATCAACATCAAACTCCGCCTGGCAGAGGAGGGGGATCTGGTGGAAGGAACCGCCAGAGGACCTACCCTGGAATTTGTCTTGGAAAATGAAGAGCTGCTTCTTAAGGAAGAGGAGGATGAAGAGCTCAGCATAACCACAGCCCAACCACAGCAGCAGTCCTGCACACAGGCAACAGAGAATGACAGAACTGAACCATTTTCAGCAGATTCATCTCAAACTCCGAACTCAAAGAGCAGGCCAGACACAAATCCTTGATCAGTGTGGATACCAAAGCACCCAAGCTTCTTATCCCTGATCACTTATCAGTTTCTGAATGGCATGTGCCTCAGAACTCTTCACAAGCCTGTGTGGTACCCTAACTGACCCGGCCTGCTTGTGTACAACCAGTGGAGGAGGGTCAAGCTGATTGATGGGCACACTCATATCCTGTCTTAACGTTCAAACCAAAAGATGGTTCTGTGTTTATTGGACAGACATAGTGGAGATTTTAGTGCAGGAAATGAGGGATTTTGTGAGCTCGTGAGACTAAACTAGGTTAGTTAATGGCTAAAAACTGTAAGCTGAGCTGGCTCGGCTTGTGCTACATAAACTTAGCCTGTAGTGTTGCTATTGTAGGCACATAGAAGGTGAACATTGTGCTATTGATGTAGGTTAACTGAAATTTAAAATTACCTCACCTTAGAGGGGAACATAGAGAAGGCCTCAAAATTTACTCAGTTACAGTTTTATGCAATACAGTTTGTTTTGGAAAAAAAGGGAAAACGTTTTTCAGGCACTTGAAGGTAGAGCAAGGAATTTGTTCAAAAGCCTTTATTTAATCTGGCATGTTGGTAAAAACCGACCAGTTTTGACCTCACCGGGTCTTCATCGGGGTGGGAACATTAAAACAAATTGTTTGCACCTGCTAATCTTTATAGATAGTACTCTGGGAGTAATATAATTACGGGCATTACAGAGCAAACACAGCATTGTCATTGTCATACAAAATTCAAATACCTTCATAATAATATAACTCCCTCAGTGAAAATAAAGTGAGATGTTATCAGAAGGGTTTATGATCTATTTCTTCATTCAAACCACAATGTATTGAAGCATCAGGTAGGTTTCCCTTTGCAACACTTTTTTTCTCCACTGATATTATGTTCAATAGCTTTTGTTCTTTCTACCTATAATAGGCTAATAAAGCTGGTATCAGAGCAGGTGCCCATCTAAAAGAAGTGGTCAGTGTTTTTTTTTGTGTGTTTTTTTTTTTTTTTTTTTTACTGAGATGCCCAATTAAGAAAGGGCTTTTAAACATACTCCTTGCTCTACCTAAGGGTGCCCAGAGAGCAGTTTTTCTGTTGTTGTTGCAGTTTATCTTCAAGACCTGGATGTGCTGGGAGTGTTAGACTGATTATGGGGCCTCCTCTCCTTTTGCATCGGCAGTGTGCTTTTAATCTAGATTGCACATTTTCACATCAGAAAGTACTGTTATCTATTCAGTCATTGTGAATGAGGTATTTCCTGTCCAGTAGGTGGTGTTAATTGCTATTACTGTTCAGTAATATTAGTGTTAGTAGACGATGAAAAGAAACGGGGGCCAGTTTGGAAAGTTTATTTTATTTTGTACTAGGAACTTCAGGGAATTTCATGAGTGAATGCGGTGTGACCCATTTGATCAAATGTTTGATGAAATACCTGTAATATCTTCACCTAAGACATCATTCCTGTCTTTACGCAGTCATTATTAATGTAGCAAGGGTTTTCAACTAATTGTGACCCAGGGAGCACCATTCTGGCTAAGAAGATTCACAAACAATAAGTAATACATACAACTCATACAACTCGTGATTAAGTGAGAGCTTTAGGTATATTATTATATAATTAAAAGACTGGGTGTGGGTCAGATGAGGTTTTTGTTTTCCTTTGGGTTTAAGAATAAATTTGTTCTCTAAATACATGGGAGCTATCAGATTGGAAAGGGTTTGAACATGGCTGGCTCTAAAATGCTTTGAAGCAAAATCACAAAATATCTGTAGGGTGGAGAACTGCTGATGGAGTAGTGACAGTCTGACTGGAATGACGAACAAGGCAGTGGTTTAACCTTTAAAAGGGATCTTCCCCCCCAAAAAAAAAATTGTAAAGAGAGAGTTATAATGTGTATGACAGTGACACAGGTGATCATCGGCAACACTGGGCCAAATTAATATGAATGTTCACAAAGATACCTTGGTGATTTTTTTTTTTTAACTTTGAAATAGTCCCATATTTTATCAGTGCTACCAGGAAGTAGTTAAGAAGATTCACAAACAATAAGTAATACATGGAAACATGACACATGATTCCTACAGTAAAACTACATTATTAATTGCACGGTCAGGGACCACCTGCAGTGCCTTCACAGACCATTAGGGGGCTGCGGACCACTGGTTGAAAACCCTTGGCATATAGGACTGACCGGCATGAATCTTCTGAAATTCTTTTGTCTTTACACAAAATGTGAGCTGAGGTTTGTGTGGGGAAACGCTTTCTGTGAGTATGCCTTTTTTTCTTTGCACAGTGGGCCTTTTCCTGACGTTGCAAATCTTAAATCCAGCATAATTTATTTTTGTGTTTAGCCTTTGTTTTAGGCACAGCCGACCCCATACCTCAGCACTGCGTACATTACCCTTCACAGAGAAATGGACCGTGGTCAAGACGTACGGAATTCATTTTATTTTCATGCTTTAACTTTGTGTTTAGCCGTTTTTAAGGTCTCTGTTTATCAGTGGGGCTCAAAGTGTCAAGCGACGCACGGAGGCGGCTTTGGATCAGGAGGTACGGTCACCCCCCAACTCGAGGTCGGAGGTTCGATACCAGTACTCCCCAGTCCACACGTCGAAGTGTCATTATTGGGCAAGACACTGAACCCCAAGTTGTTCCCAGTGGCCTTGACAGTTCAACTATCCGTGTGTTTGCGCGTGTGTAAGAGTTGGCGCCTCGGTTCTGTACCGCAGACTAATTCCTTGTGTGTGTGTGTGTGTAACTTACGTGGCTATAGCAAGTGATTATCACGACACAGCTTCTTTTCCACATCTTCCTCTGCTTTCACTTACTGTGACCCGAGGCAGTCTCGTCATTAAATATCATAATTTATTTCTGACATTGAGAATTTATTCTGCATTGTAATTGTAAATAGAAACAGTGGGACAACTGAAGTGTTGCACTCTGCATCACACTATACAAGACGAAAGCCAGTAGGGCCGAGCTCCAAATGCAGCTATAGCTATTTGCTGCGCCCACTTTTGAATGATGGTATGTGCATTGTGGCATGTACAAATTACAGACCTGTTCCTTTACTTAGCTTTTGTGACAAGTGAGCATCGAACCGGGTCTTTAAGATAGACTACACTGTTCTTTTATTTTGTGCTTTCATTGTGTATTAAGATAGTATTTTTTACGAAGGTTGGACACGTCAACGTTGTCACTATAATGTACTGTACTTTCAGACAGATTTATAAATACGGTGGCATGCTATCATTACAGTTTTTGTTTACAATGTGAGCGCGACATGATCATTGTTTTTTATCGATGCTGCCAGGTACATGGCTAATAATACTGGGTCTGTCTATATAAATAAACGTTATAATAATGAGTGATCCTTGTGTTCATATGTGAACCAAATAATGGAGCTTCATAGCATTAACGTTAGTATGTTTTACGAAGGTTAGACATGTTCACATTGCAGTGGCGGTTCGAATGACTCGCCCATGACAAAAACCGCCACTGTCACATTGTCACTGTAATGTACTGTACATATTGTGTATTTATTTCGTTTTTATGTTGTGCACATTGTGAGGGCATTGAGTTGGAGTCCAATTCCTTGGCAATAAAGTTTATGCTTATGCTTACTTTCAGACAGAAGATCGCAAGTAAAATAATAATAGTAAGTATTATTTTTTTTTACCAGCTCCTTTAAAGCCTTTGACTGAAAACAAATTATCATTAATTCACTTTAATAGCAGAAGTTTATACGCAAACTTTCAGAGTATAAAACATTATCTTAGTAGTCTGACACATTCTTTTAATATAATTGCTATTTCTGAAACTTGGATGAATAATGTAAGGGGAATGGATTTTGACCTTGATGGCTATGACTTGGTATGCACAAACAGAGAGAATAAGATGGGAGGTGGTGTGGCCTTGTACATAGATAAAAACTTTTGTTATAAGAAAGTGGAGAAAATGTCAAGGGTGGTGGATAATTTGCTGGAGTGTGTGACTGTAGAAATACTCGTGGAAAAAAAGAAAAATGTTGTAATAAGCTGTATTTATAGAGCACCTGGAGCCAGCATAGAAAAATTTAATGACTGG